CAATATTTTCAAATATAAGCGCCTTTTTTTTATTATATTACTGCTGGCATTCGAAAAATTGGTTTTCGAAATATTGAATTTTTATTTTGTTCAATGGATACGTCATTTTTTTCAGTTGGTATATTGACTTCAATTCACTAAAAATTACTGTTTCATCAATCATACAAAAGTACTTGATATACTTGTAAGGTAAGTGGATAACTGTTTGATCGTTCTAATCGTGCTTTGACAGACACCCATCTCAGTTTAAGCCACAAAAAGATCATTCGTGTTTTTTATACGTAGTTTTATTTTGAGAATAACAATGTATGAATTTTTGGAATTGTAAAACGGCGATGAACTCGATGGTTTAACAGAATATTCAAAACTTCATCGAGTGTTGCATGTTTTTTGAAGAATTCATTATTAGGAATTTTTTCCAACAAAAACCAAGTTTGACACTTCTAAGGTAGCATTTCTCTCGTGCAACGCGACATGCTCTGCCCATGCAAAACAAAGAAAACAAAAATAAATTTCAGTTTTTACTTTGAATTTTCTGAAGCGTACGAAAGTATGACAAACATATGAGCAGGTGTGGGTATGCTGTGGGCGTAGGTGTTGGCCAAGTGAATATTCGAACCCACATCACAAAGTTTCCTTTTACAATGGTCGTATACCACTAAATACTCTTTTGCAAAAAACGAGATTTTATCAAATCTAAGGAAATCCCGCGTAAACTGTAGAATCTTACATGTTTTTCTTGTAAATGATAATGGATAAATGTTAAAAGATAGAAAGGAGTAGATGTAACTATATAAATCTGATTCTTTTAATTTCATCTGACTTTCGATGATTTAATGTCATTCAGAAAAATAAATGATATGCTTCGTTCTGGAATCGAACCTATGATATGATTACTGGTTATCTGGATCAATGCTTTAACCATTGAGCTATCGAAGCACGATGAACACAGCATTAATTGTCTGAATGATGTTAAAATCATTAAAAGTCAAAGGAAGTAAAAAGAATCAGCATTGTATAAATAATGGATAAGCTCTCTAAAGAATTTTAGTGGTTGCTTTTGGAGAAAACAAAGTTCTCCTAATGATATAACGTCTTTGAAGGCCTGAGTGAAACACAAAAGATTCTTCAGCAAATTCTCTTTATTCTAGTATGCGAGTCTCGTTTTTCTGCTCTACGAACCCAATATGATTTATTAGAATGATACATATTTTCAGCTAAGGGAATAACCTCTTTTATGTTTCGTTATCCATTCTGAGCTTTTTTTTAAAATTCAATTATAGTATAATATCTATTAAAATCTTTGCATTGAATAGATGATGAAATACTTTTCCTTCGAAAAAAATCAAGTTAAATTCAAAATTATGACCTTAATTTGATTAGTGCATCAGACGCATCAAGTTGCCTCATCGTTTTCTGCACTTTCTTTAGTGTTTATTTCTCTCAAGAGGAGTGGTGAGCAGGTGTCACGAAAACTGGGGTAAAAGCCAACAAATACTGTTCTACGATATTATCGAAAAGTGTTCTTTAGTATCAACAAAAGCCAGTAAAAGTTATTCCTTAAACCAGTAAGAAAAGTATGTAGTATTGCACTTGAAATTTGCCAATGATAATGATTACTGTGTAGATAATAAAAGTAAAGAAGCAGTAGAAAGAAGTTCAATACATGAATTTCAAAATTTTCTGTCCCATTTTTCATTATTCTTATAGACGAATGGGTTCAAATACTGATCCTCATCAAATGGTGCTGACATCAATTGTGTCTACAAGTCCTTCTGTTGCAAGTAGTACTCATCCTAATGGACTTGTAGCGAAGCGCTCATTGTTAGCTCGTCCAATGACTAGTATAAATCGAATATCGATTCCTGAACATGCTTCTGCTACACTTACGTTCCATAGTATCAATTATATAGTTGGAGCCAAATCAACATTAAGCAAACGATGTGTGAAATATCCGAATCTTCCATTCTTGAAAGCTCGAGAACCGAAACAAGTTCTGTTCGATGTATCAGGAAAATTTATGAACGGAATGAATGCTATACTTGGTAAAAATCTCATTCATACTTCTTTTTAAAAGCTATTTGTTGATTGTAATTTGAAAAGGTCCTTCTGGATGTGGAAAATCATCGCTGCTTGATGTTCTCGCCGATCGAAAAGATCCGAATGGTCTTTCTGGGCTTGTGCAAGTTGACGGAGCGCCACGTCATCCATCTTTTAAATATACTGTTGGTTATGTCGTTCAAGAAGATATTTGCAGTGGTACATTAACAGTTCGCGAAAATCTATGGTTTTCAATTAATCTTCGTATGTCAAAAGAAGTGTTGATAACCGAAAAGAAAGATCATGTTGCCCGTGTTATTAAAGAACTTGGTCTTGAAGCTTGTGCAGATACACGTGTAGGTACAGAATTTCTTCGAGGCGTCTCTGGTGGTGAAAAGAAACGAACTTGTATTGGTATGGAATTGGTTTTATCACCCAAGATCTTGTTTCTTGATGAGCCAACCACAGGTATGACTATATATACAGCACATCAAGCGTACATAGGAGTTCTCAAAGTCAATGTCAATCCGAGCTTGATTATAATCATCTAAAAAATGTATTGCAATATCAAATAACACGATTTATTTCGGTGAACTAGATCTCACGCCTCAAAGTTAACGAATCTACTTTGACCAATTGTTGTCAAGTTTTTTGTTTCCAACATAGTGAATATTCTATTCATAAGAAATAGATAGGATGTGAGGAGTCTAATTTGATCTCGAAGAAATCTACGTGTATATTAGAGTGATGAGACACAATGAGCAGAAACGTAATCGGCAAACTAGTTAGGTCAAAAAGACTTTTGTGTCTTAAGAAGCAGCTCTTCGAAATTAATAATAGTCTGAGAGTTTTAACTTCATCCTTCTAGATCGGTAATTGCTATTAGAGCTGTTAATCACATCTTTTGACTAAAATAAACAGAATATGGTTTTACTTGATCAAAGCTTTTACATATGTCAGACATTTAATGAGTACTATAGAACCGATCTGTTTCTTAGACAACTTTCAATCAACGCTACTGAAAACTCGTTAGAGTAGCCACTCGATTCAAAAACTTTACCATTCTAAACATTCATTTTCGGATCATGGCAATAGGTTTTTCTGTATCATTTAGCCATTATATTGACTAATGTAGAATCAGAATCAGTTCGATCTATGATGAAAAATGACGAGTTATAATGAGTAAAGTCGAAGAGAGGTAGATAGTTATCTGAGCTTGATGTATGAAATAACAAGTAAAAAAATGCAATCTTACATCGCTAGAGTGACTGTAGAAGAGAAAATTATTGTTACAATCGTAATTTATTTAATCATATTATGCATAATGAAGCATTGTGTCATTGGCAGGGCTCGATGCATCAACGGCAAGTAGCGTTATGAATTGTTTAAAAGATCTATCTCGACGAGGACGTAAGTGTTATAATTGAATCCTTACTACTCAAAAACGTATTAAACCCATATGTTTTGTTAAACTATAGGCACCGTCATATTTTCTATTCATCAGCCACGCTACTCCATCTTTAAAATATTTGATAAAGTAATGTTCATGTGCAAAGGTCGATGTGTTTATCATGGTTCACCTAACGATGTTGTTTCATACTTTGGTACACATGGATATCAATGCGAGCAATATGACAATCCAGCTGATTATGCATTAGATGTTTTAATTGATGTTAGTCGAAAGCCAGACACACTGACAAGACTAAATAATATATACAATAGCACACGTGCTGATGTATTGGCAGTCCTTCACCCACAAGAAAGTTTAACCAGTAATGAAAATATTGAGCAGGAACGACGAAAATATAAGGTAGAAGCAGCTCGTTCAATGAGAGCAGAAATCTTTTATTTGTCACAGCGAACATTTCGAAATGCTGTGCGCAATCCTGCGCTAGCATTGTCGCAAACTCTTGTTTCTGTTGTTATCGGTTTATTGATCGGACTACTATTTTACGACTTGAAGAAAACGATTGAACCTGGTGTTCAAAATCGGCTTGGTGCAATTTTTTTCATTATAATGAGTCAGACTTTTAGCAACGTAACAGCAATTGAGCCGCTCATCAGTGAAAGTGTACTTTTTATTCACGTAGGTTTTTTTAGAATGCTATAATGATATATTTTATTTCGTGTCTTGAAGGAACGTACAAGTGGTTACTATAGAATCTTCACATTTTTCATTGCCAAATTAGTGTGCGACTTGTTACCTATGCGTGTGATGCCAGCAATTTTATTTTCTATCACCTCCTATTTTATGATTGGCTTAACTCGAACAGGTGGCCAATTCTTTATTTTTCTGTTGACAGTCTTCATGACAAGTCTATTTGGATCAGCTTTATGCTTTTTCATTGCAGCTACTATACATGTCTTCGGTAAGATCATGACTTTCCTATAGTTATGTTCTAATTATTATTATTCAAAAAGATCTCACATGATTAAATAGAAGACAAAAAGGGAGATTAATTATGGTCTCGTTTTAAGTTTGAAACAAGAAAAATTGATGAAAATAACGACTTCACTATTAATATTGAAACTCCTAATATATAGACTCAGTTTTTTCAGAAAATAACAGAAATAAGCATTATAAAAAACGAAAAAAGATATCGATCTTTATTCTCTTAATCAACAATTGACCTATCGGTGCAAAATTTTACTAAGTACTTACTGAAGTTGAACTGAGCTTCTATTGTGTAGTAATTATCTAGAATTTTCTCAAAATAAATATTTTTCTCTATATATTATCATGTGTCTGTTCATTGCAGCTGTGGCTTTAATCACTGTTATACTCATTTTTGTCGTTATGATGATGTTTACTGGATTTCTTATTGATTTGTCAAGTGTCTTTCCTTTGCTCTCGTGGCTTCCGTGGAT